GTGGCTTAAAACTCACACCGGGTGCATGTGCGTGCGTGCCCAAGATCCCAAGAGGAGAATGGAGGAGAAGGGATTGTGGCGTGACCATCCCCCTTGGGTGTTGATTTCTCGCTTTCTGTCTCTCTGTCTGGCGAGCACACGCGCCCTATAGCAAAAACCTCTCCAAAAAAAAAAAAAAGCTCCTCACAAAAAAAAGCCCAGGACCAGATGGCTTCACTAGAGAATTCTACCAAACATTTAAAGAATTTAACATTAATTTTCCTCAAAATCATCCAGAAAAATGAACAGAAGGAAACACTTCCAAACTCATTTTATGAGCCAGCATTACCTTAATAACCAAAGCCAGACAAAAAGATAATACAAGAAAAAAACAGACAAATGTCTCTAATGAATATTGATACAAAACTCCTCAACAAAATACTAGTTAACTTTGGGTCAGCAGGTGGTATGCTGGTTAAGGTGCTGGATTCCCACATGTCTGACTATGTGTCAAGTCCCGGAGTTTGGAGGCTTGATTTCTTACTTTCCACCTCTCTCTCTTTGGTGAGCACATGTGCCTGTACAAATCGAAAAATAATAATAATGATAAATAAAATTAATGAATAATTCTTTAAAAAATACTGGTAAAGCAAGTTCAGTAACACATTAAAAGAATTATACACTATGGCCAGGTGAGATTCATTTGTAGATGGCCTAACATAACAAAAATCAATCAAAGCAGTATACCACATTAGCACTGTGAAGGTCAAACAAGTACATAGCAGAGTTTCTCAAGAGCTGCCATGGCCAAAAAAACAGGTGAGGAGAATAGCCCGCCCAACTCTTCTTCTCCCTACTCCAAAACTCCCGAGTTTTTTCAAATAGAGAAGCTCCTACTAGAGTATCTGTTTTTAATCTATCTTTAGATGTTAGCTGTCACTTTAAACATAATCTTGAAGCAATGGGGAACAGCTGAAGGATGTTAAGCAAAAGAATGACAAGATCAAATTTGTGTTTTACCAAGTTAACTGGTTAACAGTGTGAAGAACAGAACAGACTGGAACTAGAGAGGTAAGTTAGGAGGCTATTGTAGTTTTCCATATGAAGAAATAAAGAGGACCTACACTATAGCCATGCAGAAATAAAAAAGTGGGTCATATTTTAGAAATAATTACACTAGGATTTAATGCCTGACTGAACACGATGTAGTGAGGAATGATGAATGATGAACTGGGTGAATGGAAATGCCATTACATGAGATAAGAAAACATGGAGGTAAAAATAGTTTTCTAGAGAACAGGTAAGGAGCTGGTTTTGCTGGTGCTAATACGACAATGTTAGCAATAAATACTATACGTATTTCAATGAGTAAGAGTTCAATATTGGGGCCAGCAGGTGATGTGGTGGTTAAGGCTGGACACTCCCACATGGCCAACCACAGTTCGAGTCTGGGACCTGGTGGCTTGCTGTCTCACTTTCGGTGTATGTCTCTTTCTGTGTGTGTCTCTTTCTGGTCAAATTTTAAAAAATGAATGAATAAATAAAATTAAAATAATTATTTTTAAAAAAGGAGTTCAATATTAACAGTAGGGAAGACATTTAGCTATTGCTAGTCGAAAGTAACAAATAAACACTAAACTGAAAGCCAGGCTGATGATACCACAAGCCAGATCCCAGGCTCTTGATTCCAAATGGGACCCCACAAAAGTCACTATGTGAATAAAGCCTTGATCACCTATCTATGACTCATTTTTGTAACGCTATGAAATGACAAGATAGAGTTCCACATTTTGCCAGTGGTCAGATCTCAAGCACTGATAACATAGTGTAGGG